TGAGCAGTTTCGAGCATAAACATAAAATTGAAACGAGTAATTTTTACACATCTGATTGACTAAATTCAGGAAGCCATTTAAGTGTACGCGTATTTGTTACAATTCCGATCAACTCTGCCGTGCAGCACGGTCTGGCCACAGGCAGAGTAAATTGTAAACAAATTGCAAGCTTGTGAGAATCAGTAGAATCAAAGTTCAAAACTCAAAAATATTTACTGGGTACATGTAAAACAAAGACCTAAAATCTAAATTCTCAAAAGTAGCTTTAATACTGTCAAATTTTCCGAAGTCTGATTTAGTTGTTTCAAAAGTATAGAATACACACAAGTTCTGTATGGATTTCGTACATGTTCTGCATGTCTTACAGTAAAAATACAAAAATTGTCCCACTTCCGCGGTTTGTTGTGATTTACTGTAATTTGTTCTGTTTTTCTGTAGCGGTTACCGATTTATCGGCAAATACCGCGATAAAACGTAGTTTTCTTTATTTATTTTAATCTACAGCATTTATAGTTCTACAGCCATCTTATACAGTTTTATAATATAATAGTGAAGGCAGTAATTATGTATAACGGTTTAAACCGGCGTAGGCCGTACAGCACATGCACTGCTCACTGGTCACTGGGACGAAGGATAAACCGAAAATTCACTTCTCTCCATGACAAGCTTTTATAATGTTCAGTCGATCCGCTACATTGAAAGATGAGTACTTGGCTATTTTTTGGCAGGGGTAACGAAATATATCGGCTGTTCTCTAAGTGTTTCTTAATGCGTTGGCCATCGGAATATAATATAACTACATAACTCATAAGCTTGATAGATATGTGACGAGTTTCACAGGCACAATCCTATTTTAAATACTATGGCTTTTGGCAGTTTTGCATCATATGTGCAGTAAAAGCCCCATTTTTCTACTTCCTCAACGTGCAAAACGCGAAAAAACTTTATTAATAAGAACAAAAATTTGTAATAGTAGTAAACAGTGTATTTTATTATAAAGGATTTTCGTTTTTCTACTGCTCCGTAGTTCGTGTGCTCCGTGCTCCGTGTGCTCCGTACTCCGTGCTCCGTGCTCCGTGTGCTCCGTGCTCCGTGTTTTACTAATAGCCCATGTCCAAAGGTCGCATCTTCACGTGATGGCGCACGTGACTTTTTTTGTTATTCACCGGTCGATAACGTATTGTTTCCCTCTCGCGCTGCTGCGAGGGAGACAGCCTGGACACGCGTTATGTATTACATAAAGTACTTAGTATAATTTAGCAAGCGCATGCGCATTAAGCATGCTCTTGAGAACACATGTTTTGTAGGAAAAGGCAAAATATAAGTTTCACCTGCGTATAGCCGGTGAAATAAGTATCACCTGCGTATAGTATAGCCTGCGCGCAGACTATATAATGACTGTCTCGTTCGTCACTCGAAATAAGCTATAGTGTTGTCTTGCGTTGTGTTAACTTGTCTACGACGATAACGAGATCTAATGTAGCGTAGGTTCTTTCGATAGAATCAAGGACGATCTACACCATAGTTTGAATATGTATTATTTACACTAACACAAGCTCAAAAGCCAGTGCGAAAACTATATACAAAAAAAAGGTGATTATCAAATTATCCTGAATGTCCCAGTTATCCTAGTGCAAGTGTAATTCTATCCTAGTTCAATTAACTAACCGTGTTCGATATAAGATAATTAATAATGAACTGTTTATATTAGAATGCGTGCAAGATATCTATAATGTTCAAAGTACTGTCAATTCTCGACAATGACATATATAGTCTGCGAATCCGAGGCATGAATAGCCCGCGTGCAGGCCCAAGGGAGCAGGCTCAAGGGAACTTGATAGTGGGCCTGCAAGCAAGGCCCGGTATTTTGTAAAACGCCCCTTTTCATAACACGCCCCATTCGCGCGTCAATTGTCAAAAAAGAACCAATGACAGCACCCAAATATTAACAAACAAACTCGCATTAAAATGTTGCGGGGTTTTCTCTGCATATTCAGAACATAAACAATCTTGGTGTAAATGGCTGCGTTTTAACTCCAAAAAAGCAAGCAACGCAGTCAGTAATTGCCAAATTTGCAAGTGCTCATTTTCAACTAAAATCGGAACAGGCAAATTAGGACGAATTTCAACAGAAAACCAGTCTCAAACTTCAAATCGTGAGGGAAGTCGTGCGACCACATTAGCATTTATAATGTGTGTTTCGCTGTCGCCATTGTTATAAATAAATTGTCTCACACAATCAGATCGTGTGTGCAATTCTTGTTGGCGGCGGAAAGTACGAAATTTATTTCAGTTATTCATTTGGTAAAGAACTCTACAAAAGAAGAGAGCGTTCAGAGTCCAGATCGTTTCGTTTCAAACGGCAATTTAATACCGTCTTCTGTTTCGCTCTCTCAGCGAAGCCTTGTAAATCGCAAAGTGTTTCGAATAGGCTTACATGCAACTGCATCTCAACATCAACCAAAAGATAATTTTCTTGAGGAACATATAACGTATCAAGTCTGTTTGAAATTAATGAAACTCAAGTAAAGGTTATTATAGTTTACCCCAGTCGTAATGTTGCTATTCCAACAACTCACGACAAGCAATCCCCATTGGCATAACGGCAAAAACATATCTTCCTTCAAGTAAACAATAAACAGTCTGTTCTTGTTCCATTTATAATCGAAAAAAGGGATCAATTTTCGAATTTTAAGCTTATCGAGAGCCTTTGTGAAGAATCCTGACCTAATTATAGAATCCAACAGCAAACAGCCAATCATCGTTCGTGGGCGAACGCGGAAAGTACAAAATACTGGGCCTTGCTTGCAGGCCCACTATCAGTTCCCTTGGGCCTGCACGTGGGCTAATGCGTTGACAGCACTCACCTCCGTATACAGGCGTCAAGCCAAAACGAGCCAAATTATGTCAACCGTACAAATTATCACAGCATAAATGTTCAAGTAATTTGTGATGACAAATACTTTGTTGTTTATATATTTTAATACCCATGCGTGTCCCCAAACACATTCAGTCACACATTGTGTCCTAAGAAACGGAAGTACGTAACATTTAAGAAATTAATTATGTATTCTCTTAAAAAAGTGCTTCCTGTTTTGAAAAATGTAAATAAATTTTCAAAGGGTGTCAAAATACATAAAAATGAAATCATGTTCCGTTAGTTAACTCTATTTCAAGACTATTCTGAAAGTGCTACTTGGCATTTGTGTGGTTCAGGATGTTCTGTATGATCAATCTTTACAGGGGCTGTTCAATATGAGCCTTGCTTGACATTTGCATCGTTGATATGCGATGTTCTAGATACTAAATCAATTTTTAATAGGGCAGTTAGGGGCTGTTCTGCTTTCAATCCTGCCCTGCTTTGCTGGGTCCGGCAGGTCAGCTCCGCAAGTGCTACCAAGAAATTCAAGTGTGACTTGGGTGGGAACGTGATATTTGTTTTTATTTCATTTGATATACTGTTTTTATTGTCGGCAGCTGCTCCATTATTAAAGTCTTAATTTTGTTTATTTATTAGGTGGACTATAAAACCATGTACTGTCCCTGTGTGAATGAAATTTCCAAAACGTACAGATAAAAACAATATAGAATCCTGGATCTTGCCGCTTGCAAGTCACGTCAGGTTACCAGGCTAGCCTGGCTCATTTGAACGGCCCCTTATGACCAAAGTAAGGGGATACTCTGGTATGAACTAAGGGAGGATGACTAATATTTAAAAGCATTTCCATGTTAATTCAATATATAATGTTCAATTCAATTTTAATTAATATAATTAAACCAAAAGTATATAACTGAATCTAACAAAATCTCTTAACAATTAAGAAAGCTGTTACTTATTTACAAAGATTTAAATGAGATCATATATTAATATATTTCTACAGGGTGTATAAAAAAAACTGAACAGATTTAAAATTGCTCTCAATTTTGCAAAACAGCTATTTGTAGCTGTTTTTTATATATATAGCTTCTTTGGGTACTTATAATGTAAAATAATGAAAAAAATTTCTCGAACTTAAATTTTGTGAACCAGGGGGGTGTGTCTTTTCCAACAAAATAAAAATGGCTCGCGCACAAAATTTAAAAGCTGCAATCATATTCTGAGATAACAGATGGAAAATTTGTCCGGATTTTAATTACTGTACAAAATTTCAGACAATTTGGTTTAGTTTAAGCCCCTTAACTATTCACGCAAAGTTACAATTTTTCCGAAAAATCAGCTATTTGCATGCTTAATTAATGCATTTGCCTAATTTGCATATGTCAGCAATATGCAAATTAGGTAAAGGCATTAATTAAGCATGCGAAAGGCTGACTTTTTAGAACAAAATGAATAGTTAAAGGGCTTAAACTAAACCAAATTGTCTGAAATTTTGTACAGTAATTAAAAACCCGACAAATGTTCAATCTATTAACTCAAAATATGATTACAGCTTTTAAATTTTGTGCGCGAGCCATTTTTAGTTTGTCGGAAAAGACACACACCCCTGGTTCACAAAATTTGAGATCGAGAAATTTTTTTCATTATTTTACATTATAAGTACCCAAAGAAGCTATGTATATAAAAAACCAGATACAAATAGGTGTTTTGCGAAATTGAGAGCAATTTCAAATCTGTTCAGTTTTTTTTGATACACCCTGTATAGGAAAATTAAGAAATGTGGTGGCAAAGTGGCCAGGGTCATGCCATAACTCTTTTATCTTTCACTCCTCTGCACTTGGCCGAGGACTAGAAGAATAGGTTTATACTACGGAGGATGAAGTACTGCTAGGTGACAGTGGATATGCCCTCAGATCATACTTGATAACACCTTATTTAAATCCCGTTCTGCCACAGCAAAGAAGATTTAACTGGACCACAAGAAAACAAGATGCCTGGTTGAACGTGTAATCGGTATTTGGAAGAGACGATTTCATGTCTTACATTCAGAAATAAGGTAAGCCTTCTCAGGCAGATAAAATTTTTTGAGAATATGGGGTGCTTCATTAAGGGTTAGCCTGGAGAGCAGGGGATTCTAACACCTGCTATGCAGGTTTAAAACCTTCCAATTTACAGTATTGTGTTAATCAATATTAATTTATAAATTGTGTTATATTTGTTTAGAATGAAACCAGACAGAGTCTGTATTATTGTGATGGGATGTGCTGTCTTGCACAACATTGCCATCGAGAGACATGAACCTGAAGAAGATGAAGGTGATCTTGTTGAGCTGGAAGATGAAGAGGAGCATTTTGATGCAGCAGAACGTGATGGGGTAACCGCTAGGGATTATATGGCACAAACATATTTTGCATAAACATATTTTGAAGTTGTGATACAGTCCATTTGCATGTGTCTACTTTGTTTACATTTTCTAAATTATGAACTTTATAAATGAAGTTTTGACATGTACATATATATTATATTTCCTTGCTTCGATCAACATTAATTTAAAATAAGTGATCATAGCAAAATCAGGCTTTGCCAGACCCTACAGGCTCGAGGCTCAAATGTACAGTATGCCTGCGCAGAATGGACTGCACCGCATCTTTAACTATTTACAGTAATTTCAGGGTGAAACTTAAAAAGAGAGTATCATGCAACTGATCCTTTGTACGTCTTTATTATACTTTTTCTGTTGATTTCATTTCTTTTTCTGTTGATTTCATGTTGCAAACTTCGTTCCAAAGTTTGTTGCGAAGTTCAAAAGTTGATAATCATATTCACAAACTATTTGTAAACAACGCATTTGAATGGCTTCTTTTACAGGGGCCAATCAGAGGCTTTGTTTACAATCCAGCTTGTGAATTTCAATATGAACTTTTGAACTTCACAACTAAGTTGGGAACAAAAATCGCAGCATTAAGGGAAAAGTTATGTGAAATTGACTGTTTATAACCAATTACTATCAGATTCATTTATTTTAATACATCGACTTCCATTTGAATAGTGTTGGGATTTTTTAACCTCAAGGCCGGTAAACAAAACAAAAATAAAATGCGATGATATTGTGAAAAAAATGTATACAGGAGAAAGCACAGACAAATTGCAACCCATACAAACGCTACGCCATTTTCTTGGATGCCAAGTGCACAAAGTATCTCTTTGCATGATATACTCACTCTTTAAACGAATTTGTTCAATGTGGTATTAACCAGTCACAGGTAACTTTAATTATTAGTATATTGGAGAAAGAGGGCATTGAAACGGCTCATTATTTTCGGCAGCATTCGCTTTTCTCTCAAGAAAGTGTATCTGCAGCTTTAATTCTTACTGTTGTAAAAGAAAGTTTTCCATCTCGATTTCTGCCTTGTCTTTCTCTAATTGAAGGCCTTCAACATGAAGCTCTTGGACGTCGAGGCGCATTTCGCTTTAAGTCTTGCGACGTTTCCTCTTTGGTTGTGGTGTCTCGAGTGGGGAATGATCTATAATTTGATATGATCCACTGCATGATGACGATTCACCTGCACTACCTATTAACATAGGATAACAAAAATTCAATTCGTATGAAATATGCATTTTATTCTAATAATATAAAGAATTAAACCCTGTTTACACTACGCTTGATTTTTGGTACAGCACAGATAAAACTAGTTACAGTAGATGCTCAGACTACATTTTTTACAAAGTTTAAGCACACATAAAAATGGTACGGTCAGGGCCAGTTTTATCTGTGTCGTACCAAAAATTGAGTGTATAGTGTAATGTGGTTTAAAATAGGTTACAAGGGTTCCAATTTATTGATTTTTAACTCTAAATCAGGCCAAAATGATAGGCACCAGTGCCATTATAAACAGATTAAATAATATAGGTTTGCATGGGGTCTTTCATGCTTTATATATTAAGTTTCTATATTATATTATTAAAAAGGTCCACTAGATTTTACCATTAATTTGTTCAACTTCAATTTGTTCATCAACTTCGTCTTGGAATCCAAGTGGGTCGTTTGAAATAAAAGACTCTGTTAATATACAGCAAAAAGCTTGTTTTAAAGAAAATTTTCTTGAAATAAGAAAATATTTTCTTGGGAGAATAACAAGAAAATTTTCTTAATAAGAAAATTTTCTTAAGAAAATTTTCTTGAGAAAAATTCTTAAATTGAGAAAATATTTTCTTATTTTAAGAAAATATTTTCTCAAATCAAGAAATTTTCTTTCTTATTAGGAAAATTTTCTTGTTATTCTCCCAAGAAAAAAGTTTTCTTGAAATAAGAAAATTTTCTTAAAATAAGAAAATAATTTCTTATTTTAAGGAAATAATTTCGCAAATCAAGAAATTTTTCTTAAAAAGAATTTTCTTATTAAGAATGTGTTGTTTGGGTGTTTATATGTACAGGTACTCAGGTGAATATTGTTTTTGATGTTACTCTGAGTGTATATGCAGTTATCAGAGCATTGGACTAGTATCCCAAAGGTTGCGGGTTCGATTCCCACAATGGTCAGGCTAACTTTTCAGCCTGCCCGGTGTGGATATACAGTCAGAGTAACATACAAAACATCAAATTATAGTCAATTTATACAAGTTCTTTTTTCAGCCATTGTTATACAACTAGGTGTAGTTCTGATTGCACAGCAATGTGTTGTAGCAAATTTAAGTTCTCCTGAAGACCTGAAGCAGTAATTTTTCTGTTCTCCTGAAGACCTGAAGCAGTAACTCTTTCCACATGACAAGCAATATTATCTGACAAACCGTTTGTTCAAAGTCCATAGATTTCTTTATAATGCACATTAAACACTGTTCCAAACACATCATGCAAATGCCACTGGAGATCCATCATATATACATCCTTATACAGCTAG